TTGGGCAAATTTGATAGAGATTTAAAACCACACCAAGCAACACACAGCAAAGAGTTGCCAGAAATACCGTACAGCCCCAGAGGTCCCCACTACCAGATTCAAGAGAGAGGAATTCTAAATAAATATGAGGGAGCTGGACTTAACAATGATGTTGCAACAGTTAGCTCACATTGGGGGCTAACATGAATGTTACGGAGAATGTGTATACCCTGAAATCAACTTTCTTCTCCTCCCACAATGGGAATTCCTTGGTGATATATGCATCAACAATCAGACCTGCAAATCAAGAGCTTGCTTTCCTTTCAGTTATTCACAAAGCAAAGCTCACTCAGTGCAAGATACGTAGGCGAGCAACTTCATGGGCTACAAGAAATAGACTACGTTTATCATTTGAAGTAGCAGCACTTCTAAAAACATGCTTAACTTGCCCTTGTATTCCTGGCCAACAGGAACTCTTTGGTTCCCACTTTTTGGGATACTCATGGGGCTAACACCTGTAAGTTCTCAAGCATATGCTTCACTGGACATGTTTCTTCATGAGGATGTGCTAAGCCAGGGGTGAGAGACCTTTTCCCCACCGGATATTTTGGACTTCAGCTCCATGAAGCTCCTGTCAGCCCAACCAGTGGTAAAAGATTTCTAGATTTTTGGTCTAAAAAGTCTGGAAAGAAGAAGCCCTGATCTAAACAAGAAGGTGTACAGGGTGCTTTCCAGAGATTACCTCTACCTAAATTTTTTTTGTCTGCCTCTCAAACAGTAGATATTTTACAATCTATGTACCTGTCTTCCTTGTGGGGAGGGTAGTCTGGCAAACAACACTGAGGGGCCTGGATATGAATTCCATATTTTGTGCCACAAGAGAGCTTATCTCCTCAGTTGAACACATTAATGTTCTTACCAAAATTGCCAAATACCTCTACCTCTTTATCTGAAGATAGACTGGCATCAGAATCAAGTGACTGGAGATGGGAAGAGGCAACTCTTCCATATTTGCTTGTATTGCTGATATGTTGTGGAGCAAGGAATGAAGGCTGTAAACTCAGGCTAGAAGTGGAATACAAATGTCACCTCTGTCCATCAGGACCTATATATATATATACTCAATCTGTCATTAGCTGTGTAAAGAGGGTGGGTGGTGGATGAAGAGATCTGACTGAGATAGGTAACCCATCAGGATCTATATATATGGATGAAGAGATCTGACTGAGATAGGTAAAACACTTCTGGGTTTAAAGTAGGCTGTGATATTTTGTAATTTAAAAAGCATATGGTTTGTTGGCAGTATGAGTCAGATGAACAGTTTCAAGTTCAAATGAAATGAAATCAGAATTTGAAAAGGAATGTTGAGCAAAACAGGTTTTACATGATAGGGTGTCACACACACTGTTCAAGCTGGAAGCAGCAACTCTTACTCACCGCAACCGGAACAGATCACAGAGTTCAGCAGAAGCTTCAAGGCATTGGCTACAGAATTCAGTGCTGTACTTTCATTGGATTCTGTTGTTTTCCCTCCCTACTTTGGTCCTCTGCGTTCTCACAACCCAACTCTGAAAGACCAGGAAACCCCCTGCGCCCAGGTTCTGGGTCTACAAAGGTGTGCAGCGGAAGGGCAACTAGGGAGGGGAAAAAAATCCTTATTATGGGCAGTATCCAAGTGACCATGGAAAATTAAACATGTCCTACATCCAGCTGTATAACGTCCTCTATAATTGCTACAATTCTTCAGTGGCAAGATGAGGCATGTGCGGGACACATTTTGGAAAACAGTCATGACCACACAGTTTTATCATCTGGAACAATGACCAGTTTAAATAAACCCACTGCACAATTGACAGAGGGCTTGCATCGGAGTTTAAGGTTTATACAATTTACTACTTAACGAACGAGAGCCAGTTATCACTTGGAGGGGGGCAAGTACAAACACACAACATGGGCCTCCTCACGCACATGTATCACAATAACGTCCCATACCTACAACCTCATGATTTATATTTACATCATTTTGTACTTCGACGTGGCAGTGTGGCATTCTGTGTGTGGATTGAACAAGTCATTTGCTCATGGGATGTCAAGGTTTTAGACATGGCCTCTGAGAAGCAGGTTTCTGGATTCATTGTCTGGTTCTCAGGTTTTCGCGGTGCCTTCTCAGGGGATGGGATGCTCTTGATCTAGCAACCCCAACTCGCATATTTTTAGAACCTGGTAATCTGGCGGCACTGGCTTCCACCTTCCCAGAGATCACTGTCCCTGATATCTCGACTTGCCCACAAAAGGTCACATTAAAATATAGCAGCCAGTCTTAAAGAGTCTGCAACGTTTTTGCCTTCTTTATTTTTTCTTTTTCTTTTCTTTTTGCCTGAGATGCTAGAACAGACTAATACAGCTACCTTTTCTAAACCTGATTATTATACCATTTGAATCCACCAGCCCGGTCTCCTTGGCTGCCACCTATGCATAAGGAAATCTGGGACTAGTAGAGAGCATATGCCACATTAGGAACCCTAAAACTCTTGGTCAAACTACAAATCCTGCATTAACTGCACAAGCACACTCTCAGTTCCTTAGAATAGTGTGAGCCATCCTAGGGAACAACCACTAATACAGCAACCTTTTCTAAACCTGATTATTATACCATTTGAATCCACCAGCCCGGTCTCCTTGGCATAAGGAAATCTGGGACTAGTAGACAGCATATGCCACATTAGGAACCCTAAAACTCTTGGTCAAACTACAAATCCTGCATTAACTGCACAAGCACACTCTCAGTTCCTTAGAATAGTGTGAGCCATCCTAGGGAACAGAGAGAATGTTGCTTGTTCTGCACTAACACAGTTTCTGATGGTCTTTCTTCTTCTTCTTCTTCTTCTTCTTCTTCTTCTTCTTCTTCTTCTTCTTCTTCTTCTTCTTCTTCTTCTTCTTCTTCTTCTTCTTCTTCTTCTTCAGGATAATAGTGGTATAGCCTGGGACTGGGTCCACTACTCTTTTAGGTCCTACTAAAATGTACCCTTCTCACCCTTGCTTGTGACCTGCTTAGATCACTATTATGATTACATTTCATCTAACTAGATTCTCTGCTCATCCTTCTACTGCCCCCTCCTCTGTAGGGTGCTTCCTGCATCAAAATTCACCACCCAGACTTACATACAAACTGGAACACAGCTGTCCTTCAGACCTAGCTCTTCTTGAAATATTGCAGTGTATTTTGTGACTCCAAAGACAAGTTGAACATGAAAGGCTGTATTTTGGGAATAAGATATAAATGCTCAATTTGAGAGAAAGCACATTCAAAAAATATATATTTAAGCACTATTTATATATGGATGTACGTATGTGCATATTTTAAAATACATATTAATATAGAAATGGAATGAAACAGATGCATAAATGGAGAGAGGCAAAACTGAGATGGCCTGGAATTTCCCAACATAGACTTTATGGCCTGGAATTTCCCAACATAGACTTTATTAGACACAGTAAAATGGGACCTAAGCATGTCAAGCTGGCCCTCTCTATTGCACACATCACAACCTCTTAATTGGCTCCATATGACCTGCTAAAATGTTTCATCTGTCAAGCTTTTACTGGAAAGCACCCTGTCCATCAGGTTATATGTTACAGCACTGAATCTTGAGCACAAGAGGCTACTATTTTCAATTATGTGCCATTACTTGACTCTCCGGGCCACTCCCTCCATCCTCATGATGACCCATTCATTCAGTCTGTATGTGCAGCTTGGGCTGGGCTAGGGTGGGGTGGGCTCGTTTCCATTTTAAAAAAATTGTGGTGGTGGTTGTTCAGAAAACAGAACTGTCTGTTCTGGATGCCTTGAGGAGTGGTCATTATCCTCTAAACCAGTGGTTCCCAACCTTGGGTCTCCAAATGTTCTTGCACTAAAACTGCCAGAAGCCTTCTCCATTAGCTATGCTGGCCAGGATTTCTGGGAGTTGTAGTCCAAGAACATCTTGGGACCCAAGGTTGGGAACCACTGCTCTAAATCAAGGTGTGTGTATGTGGGGTGGGTGGGTGGGAGAGAAAGGGACAAGGAGATAGAGGGAGAAAGAGAGGAATAAAGAGACTTTTCTTTGTGTGTGTGCTTATGTCTTTTCTGGTGTTTTATCCAAAACCAGGTAAACTTATAGTCACTTAGAGTTTTTAAAACAACAACCCCAAAACACACAACCTGGCATATTTAGGGGGCAAAATAGGCCCCTAGACCTACCAAAATCACACCACTATGAAGACTAGTCCCAATATCCTATTGTGAGTCCTAACTCAAAGAAAGTCTACTGAATCACTTATGCAGTTAAATAAATCTTGTTGAATCAATTGAAACCAGAGTGAATTTGATTTAAATCATGATTTAAAGTTTTAAAAGCAGATTATTTTATTATTTAAATGTAAAAAAATGATTTTTAAAATTTAAATTCTGTTTTAAATAAATGCCATTTTTAAAAAATCATTGCTTTTTATCTGTCCTGATTTATACTAGCAAAAGCATACTGGCTAGTTATTTCCCTTTAAAACTACTGAGTGGTTCTTAGGTTTCTCTCTACTATCCATCCATCCATCTCCCTTCTGTATCATTTCCATTTTCTTCCTGTCCTTCTCACCCGTCTCACTCTACAATGAGAAATATTATTTTTGCCCGAGGTCCATCAAAGGCCGTACAAAGAAGTTACATAAGGTCAAGGGATATTTGTATTCCCAAAGCTGCAGATGAGCTATCTTTGGCTCTAAAGCTATATAACCATTCAGAAGGATTTCAGTAGTTAAAACTGGAATATTAGCGGATTTTGTCACATAGTAAATAGACAAGAAAGGTGCTTTTGAGTAGGCATGGTTTGCAAAAAGCATATTGCTTATTAAACGTATTATAGGTACTGTATAGCAAAGTTTAATGAAACAGCAACAAATCTTAGCTGTGTAGTTTTATGCAATATTTTTGCAGTCTGTTGACAGTAATTCTACTGTCTTATCCTTTGTTTGTTATCTTTCCTCAGATGGAGAAACATTCCTTCTTTGCAATCATTTTTTGCACTGTGTTCATATACAAAGTCCTTGGATATCCGTACAATGATGTGTCTATAGCTTGTGACTCCATGTTGCCCGATCATGGAAGTGGACCACAGAGGTCTTCCCCACCTTATGTCATCTCTGTATCGTTTGATAGATATGATCCAGGAGATGAAGTACAAGGTAAATTATATAAACCTGCTGAATATGGGAAGATACGAAGCTGCCATATTCTGAATCAAGCCATTGGTTAAGGTAGCCCAGTATCATCAGCTTCAATTGGCACTGGCTCTTCGAAGTTTCAAGAAGAATTATTTCTTATCCCTACCTGGTATCCCTTGTGGACTCCCATCCCAATACCAATCAGGCCTGATTCTGCTTAGCTTCCAAAATCAGACAAGATCAAATATGTTTAGGGTGATATGGTGCTATAGATAAAGGTTGTATACAGTAATTATGATACAGTAATGGGTCTGGTTAGAGAGATGGCCAGCTCACTTATAACTTATAGTCAAATCTATGTATTCTTGAAAGAATTCCATCTGCATCTGATGGCTCTACCAAAGTTTAATCAAGGTATGACTGATGCAGAACAAAGATCATGCCTGCTGGGGATTCTGGGCGTTGAAATCCAAATGTAGCCTTCCCAAGCTCTGTTTAAATATCTTCTCAGAGTTATACTCATGGGAAAGGAAGGTATGTATTCAGTTGTGAGACATAAGATGATAACTATATTGTTATACCTGTTTGGATTTTGTGGGCATTGACTACAGTATCTCTTTAGCTTTATATTTAGGAAGCATAGGAAGGAGCTACTGCTACTGTACACATTTTAAATAGAAAATGTAGAATTTGTCTAGCAAAACATATTATCTGACTCTCTAGATCAAAGTATAGATATAATTTACTGCAATTAAGCCATAAAAGGAAAACAGAACATGGGATATTTCCAAGCATGTTTATTTTCGAAAAACAAGTTTCTTACTCATAGCTTGAAAAAATGTAGTATAAAAACATAGTTAACAGTATATAAATTATGCATGCCAGAATTTTAGAAGTTATGATCTATTCCCCTAGGATAGAGACAAGACTTTATGGTTCCTTGTCTCTCTGTGTGAAGAGCAACACTGAAATTAAAGAACACATTGCGAAATAAATTATGCAGCATTGGCAGAATTATGTGGATGTGCTCTTTCGAACATATATAGCTAAATCATAAATGTGTGCTTAGATGCACACTTTTAAATCTGTTGCAGTGTTAGGAAACAGGAAAATGATGATATAAAACCTATTCTTAAATATATGTTGGTTTTCCCTAGTGGTTCTAGAAGGAACTTCACCATCTGGCTTCAAAGCATTTATGGTCCAGGCTCGAGAACTTGATGGAAATGTTCCTGTTGGCATGTTTCGCATCGTAGATCCAAATACACAAGGCCTTCGATGTGCCAATATGTCGGTACGTCCAGTATCATTGCTTGCCTTGTTATGCTGATTTGTTCACTGTGTTTATTTAGTTATTAGTGATCCCACTGCTTGTGTGTTGGACCAAACCCTTCAGTTTCTTCATTCCTTCCCAGTCCTATCTCACTTGCATTTAATTTGTTGTTGTTCTTGTTTAGACGTTAAGTCGTGTCCAACTCTTCGTGGCCCCATTTAATAGAGGACTTAAAATTTTGTTGCTGTTGTTTGCCATGCATGCATACAACACCGCGTGAAACACTTCAAAAGAGAGTGCATTCTTTCCTCTGCTTTACCCTGACTGTTTTTTTAAAGTCCTGATGTGGATGTATTTATGTCTTTCATCTTTCCCATAAACATAGAACAAAATATCTGTAACGTGTATACTAGAGGCGATGTCTTTGCCTCACAATCAATGCATGAGGCCAGACAAGGATGGGGAGGGGACCATCCCCCAAAGTAAGTAGGCAGGGCCACAACAGTGCAATACATGGTGCACCAATATCCACTCACAAACAGATACACACACTCCAGCTAGACAATTCTCAGTAAGTGCATCAGTTTATCATCATTTCTTGCTTTTGTTGATAAAAGGTGCATTCATTTGTGGGGAAAACCTGACATTATACTGTAGTACTTAAAAAAGTAGAATAAAATTGTATTTCCATATTCTTGCATGTCAGTTATATAAATACAATGGCAATTTGGAAGTATTGGTATTCACAGTTGCCATTTGACAAATGACGTACTGTAATCTGAATGTCTTATTTATTATATTCAGTGAGTCAATCACAGTGCCTGATATTTTCTAGCATATTATGGTTGTTTGACTGTATATTATACATAATTTGTAAAAGTACATAGCATATTTGAGGGTTTTTTTTACTCATTCAGGAAATATCCTCAAATAAATTAGAAAAAGCCACATTGTCCACCCAAATTTAATTTAATGTGTACAGTAGTAGGAATCTGAAGCTCCCAACTTGTGTCCATTTACATAGGAGTCAGCTCTACTGAACAGCAGGTACAAATAGACAGTGGGGAAAAAACAAATTTCCAAGTTTTTCAATCTGAGTTCCTTCTGGGTTCCACAACTGAAATAGCTGCAGCCATGCACATGTTGCAAGAATTCACAGGCCAGTGGCAGAAAGCTACAAGAAGGAAAAGTGCCATATTTGCTGATTGGTAGTCCTCAGCCCACTCCTTCCCTCCCTTCTCTTTTAAAATTGTAATTTAATTTTTAAAATATTTTTTTCTGAAGTGATATAGTGTTTATTTGCCAAGCAAAATGCATTTAATAAGATTGAAGAGGATCAGGTGATCATACAGGTCACCAAGCAGAGAAAGTCAATGCCAGCCCAATTGGAGCAAAATGAACTAACCCCTGCTGGCTAAAGAAAAAGAGATGATTCTTCAGTGAAAAACACTGAGCTTCCCCAATGTTAGTTTTACGTTGTATATTTGCCATTTTTAAAATTCAATTTTACCCATGCCAAATCTGACACAAACTGTGGGGTAAATAGTCAATGTAGCTGACTTCTCAGTGGATTTTATTTCTCGGTAAACAATCGACATTAATAGGTCAATGCTGTTAATTAGTGATCCTATGGCATTTACAGCAAGGAAAGTCTGTTGTCTGAGACACTGCATTCATCTGCACTCCATTGGCTAGCCCCAGTTGTCAATCCTGACTAGAGTAGAACATCAAATCACCGGCAGTAACACAAGTGTAGTTTTACCAACACCCTGCTGGGTGTACACTAGCTAGGACTAAGAAGTAAAGTCAACCCCTCTTTCATGAGCAAGGATGTCTGCCCTTCCATGACTTGCAGTTTCTTCCCTTTTCAGAATTCAGCCGTAAGTCACAGAAGCCCCAGCGTAAAGCACAGAGTGACAACAACATGGGTGGCTCCTCAGGGCACTACAAGGATTCGCCTAATGTAAGTTGCAATTTCCCACGTGTGAAATGTTTATTAAAAGACTTTAGAACTTTTGCAGAAAGGAATGTGTCAAAAATGGCAATAAAAAATAAAGCTAATGCTTTGCTCATCAGTTTAGGATTTGCAAATGCTCCTAGGAAGGCACTGTGCTGCCGTGGGCAGAGTGCTAGAATGGGACTTAGAAGTTCCAGATTCAGTATATATATCATGCTGTATACACAGGTTGTGTCTGTCGCAGAGTTTTGAATTTCTGATAAAATCCCTTTTGCTATGTAGTAGAAGTACTGAGATTCACAGAGGCAAATAGCTGCATGTTTCCCACCCCTTTCTCATCAACTTGCACTTAAGGTTTCAGTAATTCACTCTGGGACATTTGTAGGAGAAAGAATGAAAATGTTTCATTACTTACAGTCATGAACGTATGGACAGCAAAGAAAACGACAAACTGCCTTCCAACAGTCTAAAGAGAGGGAAAGGGACCACTCAGCAGAGAGGCGGGGCTCTCTTTGAACTCAGAGGTGGAAGAGAACATTTGGTTAGTGCTGGATAGATTGACAGTCACCCCAGCCCAAGAAAGTCCCTCCCAAGTTAGTGAAATCACAGGCAGCATGTGAGTTTGTAACAAAGAACAAACAAACCCTCCAACAGTTCTGCACTTCAAGGCAATTCTGTATCCCCATGAAAGTTTGAATGTAATTGTGGCATTGCAATTAAAAGTATCTGGTCTTTTTTAAAAAAAATCTGATCTTCTATTGAAGCTTTCTTTGCTTCTTTTAATCCTTATTTATTTGCTAAATAAACCTACACTTCAAGCTGAAAAGTATAATAGTTACCTGACAATAAGCCTTCTCTTCTAATGACAATACATGTTTACTTAAAGTGAACTCTTCACAACTATGATAGTGATAAATATACCATTTCCCCCGCAGGGCAACTTTTGTTCAAGATTATGACACCTATTGGGTTGGTGTTCATAGCAAAACTCTCTCACCCAGACATTCAGAATTTGTTAACGCCTCCCATATTTTCAATGATTCTGCCAACACCAATGCATCAGAAGCAGCCAATGTAACGTCCATGGTTTCGGAGATCATGGATGATTCTGAAGAATTAAGTGATGGTCATGAAGAGATCGATTTCAACAGCCTTGTGCCTGAAGCTGAGGCAGATGATAGCTCCGAGGCACTTGATAATTTCGAGGCAACAGACAACTCTAGAAGAAAAAATGCCATAGGAAAAAGCAGGAGAAAGGTATCTATAGAATGTGGATTACTTAAATGTTTATACAAAATTTGTCAACAATAAAAATCCATGCCTGACAAGATGGGGATCCAACTGAATTACACACGTTTTGTCTTGTTTGAAATTTGTTCAAGACTTCTGTACCACTTCTCAGAAGCACGTGTCAACCAGGCTTGTTATTATGTTACTATAGCAGTGTTTCAGTGGTTGCTTCCCATAGTACTCCACTAAAAGGAAAAACTATAACCCTGTGGGAAGAGACAGCCTTGCCTTATTGATAGTATGTAAGCTGCTCTGAGATACTTTTTGGCTAAAGAATGAGGTGAAAATATTAATGCTAATAATAACCTCAGCAACAGCAACCACTGATGCCAGTGTCTGGAAAGACAACATTGGGAGAGGAAGTAACAGTCTTGTACACTCATTTTACATCATATTTCCAGATCATATTTTGCTCCAGTAGCATAAGAAGCATCTGTAGAGAAGTGGTAGCACTCTTGTTAGCATACCAATTGTGATGTTCTTTTAGTTTTTATACGTCATTTATAAAGCCCTTCAAAATTCTAGACACAATGATGTATTGTTACTCAAAACCTTAAAAAATTTGCCCCTGCTCTGAAGTGGTGGCTGTTATAGTTACCCTGGAGATGCTACCCAAAATCATATCCCCATGATCCCCATGATGAATATATACACCGGTAATGATACTGACTTGGTAGCAGATTACTAGGCAAAAAAAAAGTCCTATTATAAACCATTAACACTTTTCTTGTTACTTTTCAGTCAGTTGTGACTTTTGACATAAACTGTGGTAAGGTGAGAACATTTTTAATATTTTAAGAAGAAAGATCTCTTTTTATATGACATTCTTAACAAAATATTTTAGTTGGATTAATATATACATTGTCTTATGATTTCATAAAACAGAACAGCATGAACAAATTGTCTGTCTAGCCTGGAAGGGGAACATTACCTCAAAATCCCTCACGGTCCATAGCCCAGTATTAGTTATGGCCATAGTCAAAATTGCGTGGAATTATGAATGCAGTTTCAACCATTGTTCAGTATAAAAAGGAAGAAACAATATTTATATCTAGCCACTCTTCTTAAACTCCATTATTACCTCATTGTACCTGGAGGGTAAAGTAAGATGAAGTGAATTATAACGTAATTATAATGCAGAACGTAACCTGGGACAAGGTTGATGGCCCTAATTGAGAGACCCAAAATCTGCATTTAGCCAATGCATCAGGAATTCCCTATCCTGTTGTTGAATCATTAGGAGAGGCCACAGAGCCCAAATTAATGTAACCCTTGATTTACATGTGAATGATCCCATCTGTCTGTTCTAGAGGAAGATTAATGTTGGTAATGATGGGGAAGAGAAAATTTGTGCAGCTTGCCAGAAGGCTATGTTGTGGTTTGGCTGGATAAAGTATGGGGAAAGAAAAAGACCAGTGCTTCAATGTGCTAAACTGGAAATGTACGGAGAGAGAAAGATGCCCTTTTGAAGTTCTTGTCATGGCTGCCTAAGAATCACTGCATCTTTCCTGCACTATTCCTGTAATATTGACTGAGGATTTTATAAAAGGAGGCTACCATCTAGCATCTTCATCAGGATAAGACATTTTGTGAATTCTTTATGCATAGCACAGTTTATCCGGTATTAATAGCATCAAGAAGGCATGCTTCTGTGCCAGAAAAGCAAGAGTTAGAGGAACCCAAGATAATACAGTACTATTGACATCCCCAGAAGCAAATATCTAGGCTTGGGTGAGAAAGCAAAACTAAACCAATTTGGACAAAGTTCAAGGCTCAAGAAACTAGAATATCTATCCCCTATCTCTTGAAAAGTTCCTCTCTGCTTCATTACACTTAGAAGTGTTATGTGGGTAAAGAGTAGACTATTGAAAAGAACTGCTCAGTTCCAGTGAAAAGGAGTAGTAGAATCAAAACACAACTAGGAGCATGGTTACACTTCAAAATGCTCCTGGATTTGCATCAGGCTTACCACCCATGAAATCAATTTACAAATCTTTGACTAGATGACATACAGCAAAGAAAGCAAGGTTTGGACCAGCAGGTGGTTTTTTAAAAAAAACAAACAAACAAACCCCAGTAGGAGTTGTTGATTTTTAATAGAATCCGGTTGTGCATTTTTAAAAAGCATTTTTGCATGTGCAATCGCTTCAGTCAGAGCATGTTGTGTTTCTGGGGTTTGGCAAATTTTTGTTGCTAAGGTAACAGATTTCAGGATATCCTGCAGTCTGAACTTGCAACTTTAAAAAATATATATTTCAAGTTAAGTGCTGCATTGGGCAAGTGTGGAAAACAGCAGGGGGAGCCTCGCTCATTGTTTATCTTGTAAACGAACAAATCCAAGCACCAAAGTGCTTATTTCAGGGAGCACAACCACCATGCTGTGGCTGTGCTAGCGGTTGGGCAACTACTATATATGAATATGGATATGTGAGTGTGTGTGTGCAAAATTAAAAATAATAATCCCCCACCATAAACAGTGATTTGAAATCTCATGGAGTCCCCTGCACTGATATACTGCACAGCTTAAAATTGGATTACAGATTGTCCCATTAGAATGCACACAGCAACACAAAGATGGCATGATTACCACATAACTTTAAATTGACTTCAAATACCCCAATCCAATTTTCAATTTATTTTAATAGTGTAACTGTGGCCAAGGTTTATTCTTTCTCTTTTGCACTTTTTGACAGAAAAAGTTTAGGCTTTTTAGTCAGAAGGGAACACACAAAGCTGTTCTTTAAAAAGTAAATAATGAATCTTCGTTGGATTTTATTTTTTCAGAGTGGAACATACCAATCAAGCAATGGTGCTTGTGTCACGGTAAGCTTTACTTCCAAAAGCCCCTTATTCTTTTGTGTGACAATGATATGTATGTTTACCTTATATTTTTTTAAAATTGCTTGCAACACATGAATAGTTCTTACTGAACATTTTTAGTCTGTTGGCAATGTTGTTATATTACATGCAATCATGTTACATCCAACTTGCACCAGCTAGATTTGTGTCATTCGTGTTTTTGAATAAAGTAGCTTGCTTGCTGGCTGAAGGACAAGGAGTGGGGGCAGCTTGGCTTCCCTTGGGAATGAGCTCCATAGATTGGGAAGATCCATGGAGAAGACCTCTCTTCAGCTGGGAAACAGAGTGTTCAGTCATGACTTTCTCCAGACACTTTGATTGTAATCTTGTTGCTTAAATAATGTCACAACAAAAATATGCCCATTTGAATCAATGGAACCTAAGAAAGAGCTGACTCACTAAATCCTCTCTGACTCAATGGATCTATCCTAGTTGCAACTTACTACCCTAAACAACAGGATTTCAGCCACTATTTCCTAGCATCATCATCAGGGGAATGGGGGAGGCAGACCATTCACTAGGCAGCCTCTGAGGGCCCCATGCAGCCTGTGAGCCAAACAAGATGCGTTCCTCTTCTTGTTACATCCTCCTCAATGTCCTCCTGTTTGATCCAAATGATCTAGGAAACCTATACTCATCTTCTCTCATTTTCTGTACTTCATAACTTTTTTCAAAGGTGTAGATAGGAAATCATTTGCTTGAGTTTTTAGAGAAGTTTTTAATAAAGAAAGCCAGTTAAAAAGAAAAAAGAAACCGCTAAGCCAAGATGGCTATTGAAATAAAATGTTTATAATCAAACTCTTATTCTGCTTTTTACATACTGTATATAAACAATACATATTTGGGTTGATATTTATTTCCTGCTGCATTCAACTTAAATTCTTGATGCACTTTCAGAGTACGCAAGGTTCATCTCAGAGCAGTGGCAGTCAATCCAAGGTAAATGTTGATTTCTTTGCTCTCTTTGTAGCATTTGGAGTTAATTTTCTGTTTCCCTTTCAGAGTACGCAAGGTTCATCCCAGAGCAGTGGCAGCCAATCCAAGGTAAATGTTTGTTTGTTTGTTTGTTTGTTGAAAAAGGCTTTGCTCTCCTTGTAGCATTTGGAGTTAATTTTCTGTTTCACTCTCAAGGCTTGGTTTGGGCTGCACTAGATGTTACAATTTTACTCAACAATAAACTTTGGGGAGAATATAATTTTTGAGTGGGGAACAAGTCAGAGAAGTATCAGGTTACCGTTCCTCCTCTTACTGTCTTGTCTCTGAGGCTTCCTCTCTCCCAGAAGCTTTCCTCCTACTGAGATTCCAGATTCTGTTCATCTACATCAGTGGTTCTTAACCTTGGGTTACTCAGGTGTTTTTGAACTGCAACTCCCAGAAACCCCAGCCAGCACAGCTGGTGGTGAAGGCTTCTGGGAGTTGCAGTCCAAAAACACCTGAGTAACCTAAGGTTAAGAACCACTGATCTACATCAGTGGCTCCCAAACTTGGATCCTCAGGTGTTCTCGAACTAAAACTTCACCACTAGCTGTGCTGACCAGGATTTCTGAGAGTTGTAGTCCAAGGACATCTGGGGACCCAAGATTGGGAAGCGCTGACCTATACGAGGTACCAAGTAATTACCAGAGATTTTTAGCTCCAAGCTTCCCAGTGAGAGAGAATTATTACTTAAGCCTTTATCTAACCGGAAGAAAGGAGCAGGCTGGGACTACCTCGAAGCTCACTGTGTTGTGCAGTTGTAAAGCAGTGTTTTGCAATATGAGGCTTAAAGTGCCTTTGAGCCTCTCTCACTTTAGAAATGTCAATCCCAAAGGACACTTGATGGTACCTGATCTACTGGTAGCCTGTGTGCAAAGAAAGGAGGGATGCCTCACTCTGCCACTTCAGGGTAAAGTGATACCCCTCCTAAGATCATGAGCTGCTTTAGGTCTCAGGTGTTTAAATCTGGCTCTGCCCCATTTGTATATATAAACTGGAATGGGCAATGTGTGGCCTGTGGCCAAGTGCAGCCCATGAGGGGCATTTCTGTGGCCCCAAGACTATCTGAGAGCCCCCGTTTTTAAGGTGGGATTTAAAAACGTTATTTTCACTTCTGGTGAGTTCCAATGATACCACCTTTTGCACAGAGGACCTGGAAGATAATCTACCTCACCCCCCAGGACAAAAACAAACAGAACGTGGAAGTTCCTATTTACCCCCCTTTTTAATGTGAGAGTCCCCTGGACTGCAAGGAGATCAAACCTATCCATTCTGAAGGAAAACAATCCTGAGTGCTCACTGGAAGGACAGATCCTGAAGCTGAGGCTCCAATACTTTGGCCATCTCATGAAAAGAGAAGACTTCTTGGAAAAGACGCTGATGTCAATAAAGTGTGAAGGCAAGAGGAGAAGGGGACGACAGAGGACAAGATGGTTGGACAGTGTCATTGAAGCAACCAACATGAATTTGACCAAACTCAGGGAGGCAGTGGAAGACAGGAGGGCCTGCCGTGCTTTGGTCCCTGGGGCCAGAAAGAGTCAGACATGACTTAAGCAACTAAATGACGACAACAATGTGGCTAAAATACAGTAAACTTTCTGCCTAGCAGAGCCTATGGCAGAGTTGGGAAGGCAGAAATTTGTTCCTGAAGCCTGCCAAAGCTGCCCACTATGGTACAAAGTCAACTGTGATTCACATTTGGTTTGCAAAGATTGGACTGACACTAATCCAATTTAATATGGGAATACTCAGGCAGAAGTTCCATCAGGAAAAGGACTATGAAATGTGAGAGGCTGAGGACTACTTGTGCTTTCTTATCCATGGTTGACAGACCTGGAAGGAATTGTAATAAAAACCTTCCCATTCCTAAGTAGTACATTGTTCCTCATTTATCTCTACTTCTATTGTTAAAAGAAGATATCGGAATGTAATAACTAGTATGATATTTTTCTCCTCTACTTCTATTGTTAAGATATAGGAATGTAATAACTAGTATGATATTTTTCTTCCAGGTTATAGTGGTTAAACAAGGAGCCAGCAGTGGCAGTGGATGTGTTGGGGTAAGTGCACTGTGTAGAGATGATGTTGGGCTTTGGTCCTGAATAAACAGCACACCATACTTTTTGTCATCAAGTTATAACAAAAAATAGCATAAAGAGATGATGTGACTTTGTTCTCAAGGTGATTTGTTTCTCTTCCTCTGAGAACTTAATTTGCTTTGGGTACATATCTGGTAAGAAACTTGTGAAAATGAGTCAAAAGGAATCCCCATCATGCAGGGATCCCAGTCGGATGAAAACTTCGAAAGATAAAATGGTACACATGAAAGCTTTCCTTTGACAAATGTCTGTGTCAAGGCACAAATGTCCAAGAGGCAGGGCTGGGGACACATAATGTTAGCAGGTGGAGACCTAAAAGGCAGTCCTGGTTCTACCCATATATATATTGCCAACAGGTCTTGGGTATTGTTCTGTTGGGATTCTGCATACATGTGTTGCTTAGACAGTGGCCTGTCTGCAGTTTAGACAAAAAAAACCTATTCAACTGTGCTCTCTTTTGCTTACAGGGTAAAGTCGCAAGTGTGTACAACCAATATGGTTGCGGAGATGTAAGTGCTGTTAAACCATACCTCTTGATGTTTTATCACTCTGTGCTATTCCACAATTCTGGTAACATACCTTTAAGTGTGAAGGCACTGGTTAACACTTCTATCACTACACTTAAAGCAAAATCTTATTCTCAAGAAATAGGAGGCAGCTATTCAGCTTTTTGCCTTAACAGAGACAATACACCCTGTCTACTCTAGAGCAGTGGTTCTTAACCTTTTTGAAAGAAACGCCCCCTTGAGCCATTGAGGAAGTTATTATCGCCCCCCTCCCCGCGGTGATGATATCTGATTGATTGATTGATTGATTGATTGATTGATTGATTGATTGATTGATTGATTGATTGATTGATTTATTTATTTATTTATTTATTTATTTATGACACTTAAATCCAATGACCCCTGAA